AAAGAAAATGGAAACGACTATATTGGGTTATATAGGCTTTTTTTTCAGTGTCAGAGAATGTTGGGATCCCGATGCACCTCGGTGCTGCCAGCATGCGTGCAGCGAAGCTCATGCATGCCGGCTGAGCAACGATCACGGAAAGCCCGCAGCTGTGTGGATAAACGAGGATGATGGAGGGCGGTAAGATCTGTCAACATACTGTATTAGCCGCATTTTCGCTTCATGGTTCTGACATACTGGCCATAGCTGGCATTCTTAATACTGCTCCCCCAGCATGAGCTGATCTCTGCCTCCAGGTTTTCAGGTCGCTTGGAGGATGCTTCTCCAGTGTTATCATTGACAGACTAAACCTGCAAGTTTAGGACCTAGGGTTTGAAGGGTTTAGGGTTTTAAGGGTTTAGGGTTCAGGGTTTGGGGTAGGAATGCAGAGCGCGCCCGAATTAACATGGAACCCTGAAAGACAGCCCACGGTCCTTTCAAGAGGGTTATTCCTGGGGTTCCGTTTTAGCTTTGTTGCAGGCTGATCCCAGATCCCCAACTTCCCCGTGTAACTAGACTAGATCCCATGTAAACTTGGCCAATAGCCCCACGATTTTCAGTGTGCCTCTGCCTGAGAAGCAATAGCTTCCTGCTAACCCGCGAGTAGCGGTTCCCGCGTACTTGGAGGTTCATGGTACGTAATAACTATTTATAACTGGGGTTATAGCCCTACTTACAAGTGGGTAACCCTTATACGGTCATGTAGGAGGGTTACAAGTAGGGTTACAAGTAGGGTTACAAGCCTAGTTATAAGTAATTACTATTTCCCATGAACCTCCAAGTAAGTCCTGTCGACAGGGGCGGCTTGAACGAAGCGGAGATGTCAGAAGTGCGCACCTTGCCGACCATGTTTATGAGGTTGTTTCTTTGGGGATTTTCGCTGGAATCCCTATATGGTAGTGTCCCAAAATCAGGGACCCAAACATAGACCCCCAAATACTATACTCCTTATTATACCCTGCAGAGCCCTGTAGACAGGGCCCTGGCACGTTATTATAGGGACCCCCAATAATATCAAAATTAGCAGTTCCTTCTTTGAGGATCCCTACAATCATGTTTGGACATTTCGGGGTATGTATGGGGCACCCTCATTGTTGCAACTCGGGCGCATTTGGACCTTCAGTCAACAAATGAAGTACTGTGTAACGCCAGGTGATGAGCATTGTTCGTGCCAGTCATATTCCGCTCTTCTCGCACGGGGCGCTGGCTAACCAGCTCGCCACATACGCTTGCAAGAGAAGTAGCAAGTTCGTCCTGGGGTTCTTTCCCAGATTGTCCCAAAGTTACTTTGACACATAGTTCCGTGTGCGTCAAAATGGGGAACTCCTTAAGCCCGTGTCTATCTTCCTCTGCGAATGGTGGGAGCTTACAAAGCTCTATATGGCCCCAGCTATCCTTAGACGCACCCCAAACCCACTTCTCCGTACATCTTAAATCCTAACCTTATAGCCCCTTTCAAGATACATTGCCCCTGAAGTGGAGGTTTCTTTAAACAGAGGTCCCCAATATGGACCCCAATATAAGTTAGCAACTACCATTTCCATTTTCTAACCATGCCCACCCCCCTAGGCCACCCGAAGACCCAAATCATAACAACCTATGCCTCAACCCTAACCTCACCCAAAGACCCATAGGAAAGACCCACCTGAAGACCCAAAACCATAGCAACCCATGCCTCAACCCCAACCCCACCAAAAAACCCAACCTAAGACCCATACCATGGAACCACCAGAAGAACCATACACCACCACATAGAAAACCCCCAACCTCAACCCCGTAGACCGATACCCCCATAGAAAAAC